AAACACACTCCTCCCATGCCTTTTTAATTAAAAATGAACAGAACATTTTTTTTAAAGCTATGTTTTTTAGCTGCCAGGCAGTTATTTTTCCTACAGTCTGCTAGAAATGACCATAGTTATCCCATATGAACCAAACCAACCAAGTCCTCAAGTGAACTGTCAGTGTGAGTGTCTTTAAAAAGCAGGCCCTACACGTTGCTTAAACATAACAGGAAATCGCTTTATACTGAGTCTGAACATTGGTCCATCTAGCTCAGGGGTCGGCAAGGCTTCCCGGGCATGGGCCAGATCACTCCTGTGGAGATCCTCTGTGGGCCGGGCCGGTGCAGCGCGATGCCGAAAATTGCAAAAATGGAAGCAAGAAGAATTACCGACGAAAGAAGAATGGAGGATGAAACTAATGGGCTATGCAGAACTGGATAAACTAACAGGAAGGATTCGAAATTGGCCGGGCCAGAAATTCACAGAAGACTGGAGTAAATTTACGGATTATTTGAAAAGTATTTGTGAAGATCAGACGACGTTTGTAGGTTTGCAAGAAGTTTTGTGAGGAGTATTATTGGAATTATTGCAAAAATGGATAAGGGGGAGGATGATTAGTTAAGATATTTAAAGGTAATATAAATGTAAGAAATGCATAAGAAGTGGTTAAAACGGTGGATCATCAGAGGTGCTGATGGAAGTCCAAAGAGAGTGTATAAGTGATAAAGTTTTGTGGTACGCATTATAATTTATATGTTAAAATTAATAAAAACTATTATTTTAAAAAAAGAAAATTGCATCTGCGCATGCCCAGACACCAAAAATCGCCTGCGCAGAAGTGATTTCTGGTGTCTGGGCATGCACAGAAGCGATTTCTGGAGCCACGGAAGAGAGTCCCCACACCGCTCTGCGCCGGTTTTTGCGCCGCACGCAGGAACTTGCCAAGCGGGCAGCTCTGTTCAGGGGTGGCTCATGGACTAGTTAAGCGACCCTCATGGGCTGCTTCCAGCACTTGGGCCTTAGGTTGCCGACCTCTGGTCTAGCTCAGTACGGTCTAACTAACTAACAGCAGTTCTCTGGGGATTTAGGCAGGGATTGGAAGTGGGACCTTCTGGATGCGAAGCAGATCCTCTGCTCCTCAGCTATGACCCTTCGGCTAAGCAGGGGGATGTCCTTCCAAAGTGAGGTGGCTCCTTTACAAAGGGAAGTCCTCTGTTTGGAGTGCTGTCTGCTCCAAGTCCAGTTTAAAGAGGAAGAATCATAAGAGTTCCGGCACCTCTTTTTCTAGAAAAATCATGCTGTGCAAAGCTGATACAAAACGGTGTCCTATTTTGTCCTACTTTGGTGAGGAAATATAAGTGGCCACCCTATTCCAAACAGGGAAGATTTCCCTAGTCACAATCTTCTTGGATACTAGGCCAAACCGCCTGTTTCTGCTGGATATTAACAGAATGATGAACTGCAGCAGAGTTCCCGTCTAATGAGATTTTGTTTATGAAATCCTTTAATAAAGCTGCAGAGAGTATATTTTTGTTCCCACTAGCTTCCAGCTCTCCTTTGAAAGGCAAAATTACCACAATTAATAATACCCTGTTTTGCTCTATATAATTCCTGCAGATTGCATTCTTTGTTCTGCTGTTTATCATCTGGAATTTTTAGTGTATGCGCATCAACTTCAGATCCATCTCTACACCCACTGGTGCTCTTTAGAAACAGAATACATTTCATGGATATTAAAAATAGTAAATGAATCCCATGTTTTCTTCTTTCTACAGCGTTTTGTACCATGTAAAAGAGATGAAGCATATTTTTTTTACCGCTGTCTTGGCACCATGCCTCGTATATAGGGATAACACACACACCAAATTCACTTTTCTCTACTTTATAGTTGCAAGCATTTTTTCCTTTGCCATCCTTTTTAGGTTGCAGAATTTTCACTCTAGGAATTTCCACAACAATATGCATTTTGACCAATTATTATGAATGTGCAAAGCGACCTTTTAATGGCACAGACCAATGGGCAATCTACTACGATTGTCTGCTATGACTGGCAACTGTTAATAGCTCTCCAGGGTTCAGACAAGGATCTTTCTTAGCCCTACCTGTAAATGCCCAGGGCTGAAACTGAGATCTTCTGCATGTTAAAATTGTGCCAACTCTTAGGAGCCAAGGTCCCTTTGGGTCCCCCAATAAAACATTTGAGGGGGCCAGCCATTCAAACGGTGTGTGTGTGCACGAACACACACGCCAAATCTTGTGATCAATTATGTGGGATGGAACTTATCTGCCTCCCCCCAATATTTTATTCAAGATGGCACCCCTGGCTCCACCACTAAGTTACACCTTCTTCCCACAATCTTGTTCTGTCATACGGGTTTAACAGTCAGGGCATTGAATTGTTATGTGGTTTTTATCTCTGTTAAATGTTCATTGGCTCTCATGCTTCCACAAAACAGGGATTGGCCAATCAGTTGCTCCCATGGGTACCCACATGCAACCCAAACTCACCACTGTCCTGTACTACCCCCAGCTCCATTGCGGTTAGTTGCAACTAACCAGCAGACGATCATCTACTGAAGAGCTATCCAGTCCAAGTCTGGTTTAAAGATTAAAAAATGCATTAATAGAGAGAGCAGGGCCCTTGAAGCTGTCCAGCAAGAGTTAGCTCCAGGACAGCTGACTGAATAAGACACTGAGGTCACCAGGGCGCAGTCTTCCTGCTCCGTGATTGCAGTCATGGGATTGTTGTCTTTCACATGACGGTGTATGTTTTGACTCCACAGAGTGGGAAGTGACGGAGACAGGATGTTTGTGTTACTGTGTTACGTGAAGTGGGACTATTGTCCTTTGTTTCGTTTTTTTCTCTTTGCTGTCTGATGCTAGAGAGAGAGGGAGCCATGGTGCAGTGCTCTGTGTGTGTTTATATGTAAATAAAGTAGATTAGCCAAAATGCTGAGTTGCTGAGGTCTGTTACGCAAACTGCGAAGACTCTGCGGATCCCTAAGTGTGCCGATGTCTGTTGGCATCGGTCGCTGTGGTGTTTGGGCTGAAGAAAGCTTTTGAAACTCCCGAACGATTGACCAGGAGGGAGAGAACATGCCAGTCGGGCATGTGTCTCTGCCAGGGTCCTACTCAAGCTACTATGGTGAGATGCACTGTATTTCCATTTAGATTTACAGCTATTATTTCCAACTTGACATCTACACATATTAACACATGCAGTGCTTATGCAAATCTGCAACATCTGTTGTCCTCTTTTTTGTGACGTGTAATTGATCACCCTGGCAGGTGAAAGGACCAAGCAAGACCAGAAGGCTGGCCCCCTTGTATTGAAGCCAGGCTTGGCCAATCTAAGAGATGTGGAACCTGTGGCTCATTTGATGTTGCTGTACTCTGATCCCTTTCAGCTCCAGCCACAATGACTGGAGGGATGACTGGAGCTTGTAATCCAAGAACATATGGAGGGCCATAGGATCCCCATCATGGATTTTGAAGGTTCAGACTATCTACTTATCATAATGGCCAGTGCTGTGCTCACCTATTCCCTTCTGTGCCCAAAGAAGCCTCTGATATCCAGTGCTTTCTTTCTTAAAAATAATGTTTAGGGGTACTCTCATTTTGACTCAAGAAAATCACCATTTTCAAATCGGGGGAAATAAATACAGTAAATGGACAAAAGTACAAAGAACATGCATTACGCTGGGAAAGGAAATGAAGCCGCCATCAGAGGTGGTAACAACAAAACTGACCTATCACAGTGCTAGATTCCAACTCCTACTTCACACATTAAATGCCCGCTTCTGTCTGAGACTCAGGAAACACCATGACAGGAAATGAGGCCACCATCGGGAGTAGCAACGGAACTGGCGGTTTACTGTGCTAGAGAAGAAACTAATATTTTAAAAGAAATTTAGTTTCTTCTCCCATTAGATTCACAAAGTGTTTAGGGGTATGCGTACTCCAGTGTCCCCCCAGAAAAAAAGCACTGCTGATATCTATCTGAGTGCATAGAAGCCTCCAAAGAAGCTAGACTAGGCACCAGTTCTGTTCTGTTCTCTCTCTCTCTCTCTCTCTCTCTCTCTCTCTGTGTGTGTGTACATTCAGCATTCATTCACACAACTGCCCTGAACTGATCCCATGCAGACATGAAGATTGCAATGCCATATGTGCTTTTCCACTTCCCCCAAAGCATTTTTCCATATATTTCAATGGTGAAGGTGCATCTGTTTACATCAGGGGTCAGCAACCTTTTTCAGCCATGGGCCGGTCCACCATCCCTCAGACCATGTGGTGGGCCGGACTATATTTTTTTGCGGGGGGCAGGGGAATGAATGAATTCCTATTCCCCACAAATAACCCAGAGATGCATTTTAAATAAAAACACACATTCTACTCATGTAAAAACATGCTGACTCCCGGACAGTCCACGGGCCAGATTGAGAAGGCAATTGGACCTCATCCAGCCCCTGGGCCTTAGGTTGCCTACCCCTGGTGTACACAATGGGGCATACACACCACAAAGCTGTGTCACACATTTAAATGAATGGAAATATCCACGCATTCAGAAACTCCATATTCAAATTACAGCTCTCAGGCTGTGCTTAAGAGTAATGTGAAGTCATCTCATCGCCAATAAAAGCAATCCAAGAATTGCTCCTTAGTTCATGCTAGGAAGAGGTCTGCCTCCTCATACCACTGGATTTAATGCTGGTTAAATTAGTATGTCCTGGATTTACATGGTTCAGTGTTTTGAGGTTTTTAAATGTATTCAGCTGTAATGAAGTATGATCATACTTGCTGCAGAAAGCCAAGAGATTTCCTGAAATCTGAAAGGCTTAGAAAATTGGTTTTTCACATCTCTTCAAGCACCTGTACTGACAAAATCCAGCAGTTCAAGGCCACACACACAAGAAATACTTTACTGCTAAATAATATGATCCATCTTGCGTTTTGTTCAGCCATAAAGTTAGAATTTTATAAACATAAACATAGAATCATAGAACTGTAGAGGAATCTTTTGCCCACCATGGGGCTCAAACCCACAACCCTGAGATTAAGAGTCTCATGCTCTACCTACATCCTAGTATTAAGTGTTAAAGGTAAAGAGACCCCTGACCACCAGGTCCAGTCGTGACCGACTCTGGTGTTGCGGTGCTCATCTCGCTTTATTGGCCGAGGGAGCCAGCGTACAGATTCCAGGTCATGTGGCCAGCATGACTAAGCCGCTTCTGGCAAACCAGAGCAGCGCACGGAAACGCCGTTAACCTTCCCGCCAGAGCAGTACCTATTTATCTACTTGCACTTGGACGTGCTTTCAAACTGCTAGGTTAGCAAGAGCAGGACCGAGCAACGGGAGCTCACCCCGTCGCGGGGATTCAAACTGCCGATATTCTGATCAGCAAGCCCTAGGCTCAGTGGTTTAATCCACAGCGCCACCCGCGTCCCTGTATTAAGTGTTAGAAGACACTTAAATACTGGGTTGCAATTCTAACCCAATTTGCCTCATAGTAAGCCCCATTGAATTCAGCTTCTGAGTAGAAATGGAGTAGAAATTGAAGTGTGCTAGTTATCTCCCCTTTGTTCCCTTAAAATCAGTGAGACTGAAATCATGACTAACTTTTCAAACTGATTTAAAAGGGACCCAAGAGCAACCAGCTTATTTGCCTCTAACCCACTGTCTTTATACTCCCAAATATTATAATGGCATACGCAACTACTCACAAGATTTGGTATGAAGAGTGGCGGTAGGAAGGGGACTTTGTCATATTAATGAACAAAGGACAGACAGACAATATATAGAATCTAGAAGGCTTGACGTTTACTACAGCCCTGATAATGATTCTTTATTGAGATATATAATGAATGTGAAATAATTACACAGCAGGATCCTTGGAAAGAAATAACACTTATTTGCAAAAGAGGACCTCTGTGTCATTTGTCTTGTTAGCAGATGTATAATTGCAGAGCAAAAGTACCCAGATTGTCAGCCAGCTTGATGCTAAAATCTGCATTCAGAGGTGAAAATTCTGCAGTTATGCAGTTGTGGATTTACAAGCATGACATTTTGTGAGTAAAATCTGAAGTTTGGCATCTAGAAAACGAAAATTTAGGAGGCAACATTTCCCCTCCTGAAATCAGTTTCTTGAACCTAAACTTACCTTTTTATTTCCATAGCAAACAAATTGGATTTCCAGTATATTTCTTTAAATCTGTCAAGGTGGATTCCTGATGTTCACTGAATGCAGTTTGAAACTGTAGGAGGAGGACTCTGATTGGTCAAGCTGAGCCTCATAGGAACATAGAAAGCTGCCTTCTACCTTCTATCCCCAAATGATATTCTTCAGGGACTTGGACGGAGAAAAATATTTTCCATCACCTGGTACCTGACCCTTGTCTTAAAACTGGGGAAGCAAGGAATTGAACCTGCAAAGTAGGTGCTTCACTACTAACCAATCAACCTGCTCTCATTTTTAATTTTTCATTAACAACCTGGGAGCATGCATGCTACTTTGGGAAGAGTATGATTGTACCTTCACATATTTTAGAGAGATAAATGACCATAAATCATTTATTCCATTGTAGTCCTGTGGAACAAGAGATACAATGCCAAATTGAAGAGGTTAAAGGTGAAGGTGCAGAGATCCCCCAAGCTAATCAGTTGGTTCGTTTTCTTTTTGATATTGGGGACGTTCCATGGGAATACTGTGTGCGGTTTTGACTGCCCCATCTCAGAAAGGACATAAGAGGCTAGAAAACATGGAGAGAGGGAAACCCAAATGATCTAAGTGTTGGCACATCTTACCTTCAAAGAAAGACCCAAGCACTGTGGCAACCATATCTCCCTTATTCCTCTCTCACAATACTAAGTCACGGAGATACTCCATGACATTGATTAGGTTCAGAAAAGGTAGAGGAAGGACTTCTTTGAATAATACAAATTTATGGAATTTGCTACCACAAGAAGTGTTGATGTCCACAAGTTTAGATGTCTTTAGAATGGGAACAGACAAATGTTCCCTTCTTGCATAATCTGCTTTATACCCAGAAGAGGCCAGGGGACCGTGCTGCAGGTCCATCCGCAACATCATGTGGTAGCCTGCCTTGGTGTCCACTCATTGAGCATGGGCATCTGAGCAGGAAGCCTTCAATCATACAGCACTATGTGTATAGTTTCCCCACACAATATTGAACCCTGATCACACAGGGTTCCAGATCGCATGGAAATCCTACAGGTGGAGAGCTCTACATGCATAACATTCCCTGCTCAGGTGAGCATGCTCACCACATATGAAACATTTTAGAGTTAGCTAGGAAAGTTCAATGCTAACTGAAAAGCCTACCAAGTACTCACTGTCATCTTGCAAAATGCTTTGCAGTTTTTTCTTTTTTCTTTTTGTATTTGTAATTGTTTGCTGCAGTTTTTAAGTTTCTCTATTCAGCTCCATTTGCCCACAGTCTTAGTATCTTCATTTCCTCTGTTGTTTCCCCACTGTCTATTTTTAGAGTGTAAGTTATTTGAGGACAGAGACCTATCTTTGCCTAGGGACCATAAGGCTCAATGTACATGGATTGTGTTGAGGACAGAGATGTATGTACACGTTTGACTAGATCACTGTAAGAGACTCTGCAACCAATTGTGCTGAATTATTGTTATGATTATTGCGTAGAAGCAGTAGAAATTTATTAGTAGTAGCAGTACTTCAGTTTAGTAAGATGAATGAACACAGGCAATTGAGCAGAGTGTTGGGTCATCTGCTTTGCATACAGAGGGTTCCAGGTCGAGTCCCTTGCACCACATTTTAAAAGGTTCTGGCAACAGAGAAGTGGAAAGGTCTTTGCTTGAGATGGCTGCTGCAAGCCAGACTTGACAACACCAAGTCTGAGGGGAAAATAATCTGACTTAGTCTGAGGCAGATTCCAGTGTGAGGTACTTCTGAATACTGGGGGATTTTTCCTCATAAATAGCTCTGTGAATGTGGACCTCAGTAAGGGATCTTCTGCACTGCTCTCAAAAATCCACATTTTTCAAATCCGTTTTGTGTATTGTAGCCCTCTGTGGTTCTGTACCTATTCGAGTTGTTTGCTGTTCTTGCATTCCATTGTATCTGGACCACACATGCTGCCTATTTGTATTTCGGATCTAGAGTCATGTTGCTTATTTAAAAAGCCCCACCCTTCACAAGCAAACCATAAAACCCACTGACATTCTCTTCTATATCTGTTTCTGGCCTGCAGCATTACTGACAACTCAGTCTCAGGCACTCCTACTCAGAAGTAAGCCTCGCTGAGTGCAAAGGGACTTCATCCTAGGTAAATATTGTTACACATACGCCCAGTCTGTGAGCGGTGTGAGATTTCAGGGGTTCCAGATGCATTTACCTGGGGTCTAGGTTTCCTTTCCTGCAGGAAGGTAAACGGCGTTTCCGTGTGCTGCTCTGGTTTGCCAGAAGCGGCTTAGTCATGCTGGCCACATGACCCGGAAGCTGTATGCCAGCTCCCTCGGCCAATAAAGCGAGATAAGCACCGCAACCCCAGAGTCGGCCACGACTGGACCTAATGGTCAGGGGTCCCTTTACCTTAGGTTTCCTTTTGATAATGAGGCACAGCAGAGACTGTGGTATCTTTATGATCTATGGTTTATTTGCATATATATACAACCTGAGCCTATGACGGAGAGGTTCCATGCCACAGCCCTGGATTCAAACAGACATCAGCCATTGTGCCCTATGACTCACTATCCAACTTGCTAATTCTCTAAGCTTCTAGCTCTCATTGCTTCTAAATTCTCATCCCTAAGCCTTGCCTTTTTCTGTAAAGTGAAAGCCAGCCCCCCTCCATTTGCCATCACATGCAAAGTTTAATGGCTCATCTCCCAGGCTATCACACCATGAGGAAGTTAAAAGGTAAAGGGACGCCTGACCATTAAGTCCAGTCATGGACGACTCTGGGGTTGCGGCGCTCATCTCGCTTTATTGGCCGAGGGAGCTGGCGTACAGCTTCCGGGTCATGTGGCCAGCATGACTCAGCCGCTTCTGGCGAACCAGAGCAGCGCACGGAAACACCGTTTACCTTCCCGCCGGAGCGGTACCTATTTATCTACTTACACTTGGACGTGCTTTCTAACTGCTAGGTGGGCAGAATCAGGGACCGAGCAACGGGAGCTCACCCCGTTGTGGGGATTCAAACCGCCAACCTTCCGATCAGCAAGCCCTAGGCTCAGTGGTTTAGACCACAGCGCCACCCATGTCCCATGAGGAAGTTAGCCTTGCTTAATTAGCTCTCAATATTTTGTTGATTCCAGGAGATTAGCATTGTCTAGTACAAAGTTTAATATGCACAGGTCTGGCTTAATGCACACGTCTTACACCCAGTCTTAACACTCCAAGCATTGATTAAATTCTAACCTTTGCTTCATTCGGAGATTATAGTGGTCTAGGACCCACAAACCCATAACATTATGTTTCTCCCTGTCTGCTGCCTTGCTTCATGTTCACAGGCACCCAGTGGCAGGATTCAGCAATGGCACAGAGGAGGAGTTAGGGGGAAATGGGATAACCCCAATACTGTGATATGGCAAACACACATTACACAGCACAGCAGAATGTAATCGGTTTTAAAAAAACCGTTTCAAATTGCTACTGATTAGCTGAAAGGCAGATTTTAGCTTCAGAAAAACTGATATGTCACCCAGTCAGTAGAAACAGCAGGTAATTTCTACTCCCAAAATGTAGGAACATTTCATTTTACCTGCATGGTAAAATTTGAGACAGTACAGAGGAGGCTTAAAAAATAGCAACAACTGTTAGTGCCAGAAAATCTGACTTAGAAAAACACTAGAGGGCAGTGGATACTGAGCACTGTATCACAGTCTCCAATGAGCTCTCCATGCAAGTGAAGTTACCAAATTCCTTATCTTCAGCAAATGCCAGAGGATGACAAAGAACAGTCCCTTCAATTTTGGAGAAGGGACAAAGTGTGCTCACAGGAGTTTACTGAACCTTAAAGATACGCCACATCCATTGCGCATCACTGTTCTTTTCAAGCTGAATTCCCATGTGTCTGTCTTAGGACATCCTTTTCAGACATCAAAGGAGGCTCTGTAGCAAAGC